AGGTCAAGGACTCTGAGGATGATGAAGGTCAAGGACTCTCCTGATGAAGGCCAAGGACTCTCTGAGGAGGATGATGAAGGTCAAGGACTCTCCTGATGAAGGCCAAGGACTCTCTGAGGAGGATGATGAAGGTCAAGGACTCTCCTGATGAAGGCCAAGGACTCTCTGAGGAGGAGGAGGAGGATGAAGGCCAAGGGCTCCTCAAAGCTCTTCAAGGTGGAGGATGAAGCCCAAGAGCTTGAGGAGGATGGTGATGAAGGTTGAGGACTCTTCATTGACCACGGTGAAGGTTGAGGACTCTCCATGAGGATGATGAAGGTTGAGGACTCTTCATTGACCATGATGAAGGTTGAGGACTCTCCAATGACTGTGGGGACTCTCCAATGACCATGGTGAAGGTTGGGGACTCTCCAATGTCCATGGTGAAGGTTGGGGACTCTCCAATGACCATGGTGAAGGTTGGGGACTCTCCAATGTCCATGGTGAAGGTTGGGGACTCTCCAATGACCATGGTGAAGGTTGGAGACTCTCCAATGTCAATGATGAACGTTGAAGAATCTCCATGATGACGACGAAGACCAAGGACTTGAAGATCATCATGGTGAAGGCTGGGGACTCTCCAATGACCATGACCAAGGTTGGGGACTCTCCAATGACTGGGGACTCTCCAGTGACCGTGGTGAAGGTTGGGGACTCTCCATTGACCAGGATGAAGGTTGGAGACTCTCCAATGTCCATGGTGAAGGTTGGGGACTCTCCAATGTCCATGGTGAAGGTTGGGGACTCTCCAATGTCAATGATGAACGTTGAAGAATCTCCATGATGATGACGAAGACCAAGGACTTGAAGATCATCATGATGAAGGTTGGGGAGTCTCCAATGAAGGTTGGGGAGTCTCCAATGAAGGTTGGGGACTCTCCAATGACCATGGTGAAGGTTGGGGACTCTCCAATGACCATGGTGAAGGTTGGGGACTCTCCAATGTCAATGATGAACGTTGAAGAATCTCCATGATAATGAAGAAGACCAAGGACTTGAAGATCATCATGATGAAGGTTGGGGACTCTCCAATGACCATGATCAAGGTTGGGGACTC